GGCGACAATTGTGCACGAGAGCTTTTAGTTAAAGGAAGAACGCGTAAGGATGTTTTCCCAGCCAGGATATGCGCAGGGGTTGGCAAGGGCCTCCACAAAATATTTATAAATTTACAGTGGCCAAGTGGGTTAATCGAGTGAATTTTGAAGCGTGGTCTTTATAATTAGGAGAGGAAATCGAACCAAAAAGGTACGTTACTAGACCTAAGACCGGTTACCGAGTTCGGGCAGACCCTGGACTTGGTAAACGGCTATCGTAGAAAACTCGGGCGGACCCAGGGTTTCGCTACTAACTACTACGATAAAACTCGGGCGGACTCAGGGTTTCGCTACTAATTACGATAAAACTCGGGCGCACCCAGGGTTTTATTACTTATAATTACGATAAAACTCGGGCAGACTCAGGGTTTCGGTACTAATTACGATAAAACTCGGGCAGACCCAGGGTTTTATTACTAATTACGATAAAACTCGGGCGGACCCAAGGTTTTATTACTAATTACGATAAAACTCGGGCGGACCCAGGGTTTCGCTACTAATAACTACGATAAAACTCGGGCGGACCCAGGGATTTATTAATAACTACGATAAAACTCGGGCGGACCCAGGGTTTTATTACCAATTACGATAAAACTCGGGCGGACCCGGTGTTTTACTAATTACGATAAAACTCTGGCGGACCCAGGGTTTTATTACCAATTACAATAAAACTCGGGCGGACCCAGGGTTTTATCGATATCTAGGATAAACTCTATTAACGGCCGATACGTTAGTTAATTACGCGTAGGGGTTACGGTTCCGTTACGTTTGATCGATTCTCGGGCTAGGGCTATTATCATTCGTTATAATTAATTTATTTATTCGACGGGCTTGATAGAGACGGGTCGAAAGTCAAGGAAAAGGAATACACACTCGTTGTCAAATTTATAATGCATTAAATTTGTTTTTATTCACCGTAGGCTTCTCTCGCCTTCTCGTCTCGTTCACATAACTTCCCAAATCTCTGTCTACAGTTTTTTTTTTGTTCTAATCGCGTTTCTTGCTGCACCAGTAAAAATCCTGCACGACTATACCGTTTCGCTTACCGACTAATTGCCACTTATCTCGTCTCCCTAAGTCGGTCTATCCGGCTCCGATGTTCGCGTGTCAATCCTCTTGAGTTCCTTCAGTTTTTTTCGTTCTCCTGCCCTTGGCCTTTCCGATCTCACTATTTTCTCACCACGCAGTCGCAGTGGTGAACTTCTCGGCAAGTTCGAGACTCTCTTTTCTCCGTTTGGCAACAGCAACTCCTCTGCTCTGCCACGCTCGCTTTTCGATATTTCCTCTCGCTCTCCGTTGTCGTCGACCGCGCAGTCGCTTTGCGTTCCGTTTAGGTCGTTCGGTTTACTGCTCTCTCGCGCTCCTTTGGTGGGTGAATTTCTTAGGCAACTGCGTAGGAGTTGTTCCCGGCCTCACCTCTCTTCTCCGCTCTCCTCTCTTCCTTCTACTTATCGAATAATATATTTATGTTTGTTTTCTCTTAAAGCTAATAAAAACCAAAAGGAATAACAATAATAACAATAACAGAAGTATCGTATTTCCTCCTCCCCTCCGTGGGGATCGGGAATAATTGTGGCGGCGTCGGAACCGCCGTCACAACCGTCAATATTAACGTCAATGTTTAAAACTTCTGGTAATTCTGCTACCACAGATAATTTTACTAATTGGTTCGATAAGCCAATATGCAAATAAGAACCCCCATCTATTTTCGTAATATCTGGCGTATTGCTGCAGTTAAATTTATAAAAAGTCCTAACATTTAAATTTTCTTGGTATAAAATTTTGATTACATCTGCAGCGCACCTACGAGTTGACTTGTGCTTTGCAAACCACTTTTTCAACATAAAATTTAAGTCTCCCTGATCGAACTCAATGTTTTCTATATCTTCCTGATTAACAGGGCTAACTTCTACATTATCCTGACCTCCTTATTTATTTTCCTGATCTACATCTAAATTTTCAGGAACTTCTAAATTTTCCTCACATAAATCTAGATTATCCTGACCTACTTAGAAGTTTTCCTGATCAACTTCAATTTCCTCGTGATCCCTAATTTCGTCAATATGTACGTTCGAATTCTTTTGAACTAAGCTTAATCTTTGACGTAACTGATCCCTTTCTATTTTAATTCATCTTCTAACATGACGAGAGCCTGGCATTTTGATAAAAAAAAAAGTAATTTGTAAGATAAACCCAGGAAATCAAAATTTGGCATTACACTTTTTTTTTAATATAAAAAAATTTAAAACGATATTTTTTTTGTTCAATAAAAAACAAATTGATAACACTAGTTATATTTACTGTTAATTGCCAATTTTAATTTTATTATAAAATATAAAAGATTTTATCAAATTTTTGTCAAAACAAGACAGGAAGTTAACATCGGCAAGCCGAAGTTTTTATACCCTTCCAGTTATAATTATTAAATTTAAAAATACAAAAAATTATATTTCCAATAGTATAATATTATCTTATGTCAAAAAACACCGAAACTAAGATTTGTTTCACATTATTTTCCCACCAATTTTTCGATCGTTCCTATGTCAGCTATATAAATATAGTCGTCCGATTTTGATAAAATTAAATACAAAATTCAGAACTAACTAAAAAGTGGTTTAAACAAGTGTTTAAGTGTTAAACAAGGAAGAACGCTATAGTCGAGTACCTCGACTATCAGATACCCGTTACTCAGCTAAAGGAACCAAAGGGAAATGGAGATATTCCAGCAGCAAAGCGAGGTTGAAATGCGCTACCTAGCGGCGGTAGACAGATTTAAGCGTTATGGGCGTTAGAGTGGGCGTGGCAATTTTTTTTTTGATCAATCGATAGGTATTGACGAGACCAATACATTTCATTTAAAAGTTGTTATCTAGCAAAACACCGAAGCTATAATTTGTTTCATATAATTTTCCTACCAATTTTCCGATCGCTGCTATGGCAGCTATATGATATAGTCGTCCGATTTTGATAAAATTAAATACATCATTACAACAACAACATTACAACAACATTAAATACAACATGTTTTTTTCAAGCGTAGGATGTTACATGTTAAAACAAGAAAGGAAGTTAACTTCGGCAAGCCGAAGTTTGTATACCCTTGCAGCTATAATTATTAAATTTAAAAATACAAAAATATATTCCCAATAGTATAAGATAATATGTCAAAAAACACCGAAGCTATAATTTGTTTCATAATAATTTCCCAGCAGCTATATGACATAGTCGTCCGATTTTGACAAAATTAAATTCAAAATTAAGAACTTATTAAAAAATGTTATTTCCAAGCGTAGGAGGTTATATGTTAAAAAACACCGAAGCTATAATTTGTTTCATATTATTTTCCCACCAATTCTCCGATCGTTCCTATGGCAGCTATATGATATAGTCGTCCGATTCTGATAAAATTTAATTCGAAATTCAAAACGAATTAAAAAAGGTTATTTCCAAGCGTAGGAGGTTATATGTTAAAAAAACACCGAAGCAATCGTTCCTATGGCAGCTATATGATATAGTCGTCCGATTTTGATAAAATGAAATTCGAAATTCAGAATTAATTAAAAAATTTTATTTCCAAGCGTAGGAGTTAATTAGGAGTAGGAGTAGGAGTTAGTTAAATATTTTTTTCCGATTATTCCTATGGGAGCTATAAGATATAGTTGTCCGATTCGGCTGGTTCCGACTTATTTAGTACCTGCAAAAGAAAGAAGAGTTTTTGGAAAGTTTCAGGCTATAGCTTAACTGAGAGACTAGTTTGCGTGGAAACGGACGGACAGACGGACGCCTAGTGATGCTGGCCAAGAATATATATACTTTATGTAGTTTTTTTTTAGCCCTAATTTGACGGACATGGCTACATAGATTTGGCTGGTGATCCTGATCCAGATTGTGTATACTTTATGGGGTCGGAAACGCTTCCTTATACCTGTTATATTCCTTCCAAGGAATCTAGAAATCCCTATTTACTCTACAAGTAACGGGTATAATAACGAAGCTATACTCATTTTCCTATTAATTTTCCATGAGTTATCCGATTGAGATCGACTATCGACTCGTCTAGTGACGGCGGGGGTGGTCCTCGTCGGTTGCAATGGTTCACTGCAAGACCGCCTCTGTGTAGCCGTCGATTGTAGCACCTGCCCGTAGATGCGGGGGGAGGTGGTCGTCGCTTGTAAAGCTTTGCCCGTAGACCCGTGAGAGGGGTGGTCTTCACTGGCAGCACTTGTTTGCCGCGGGATGTCCACGAACAACAGCCGCTTACAATGTCCGTTGGGCACGCCTATTTGATGTGGAACGGCTGCAGCTGTAGAACCACCAGTGTAGAGCTGTCGCTGGTACCTTCTGCACCTTCCCGTAGATGCAGGATGGGGGAATTGACTGGTGACAATGTCATTGATTTTAATTAGTTAGTTATGGTGAGAGGGAACTACCCTTCCTTAACTACTAGCCTTGGGACTTAGCAGAGAAATAAGCAATGTTAACGACCGATTTAGCCGGAGTTATATTTACGAGCGATGGCTCTTTATTCTTCGGAATATAAAATATAACTGAATACATATTTCACTTAAAGGTAACATAAACTTAAAGCTCATAGCGGCCACGCAAATATGCAGTGTTTCCGGCTATGCACGAGCATCCGGCCAAATGCTGGGTCAGCGATCTCGCCGCTGCTGGGCCTAGGACATTCGGTCATCGACTCTGTGTTGCAAAACTTCTGCAAGGGTAGTAAAATGGTAAAAATTTGAAAAATAAATGTAAGCATTTGGGCCATTTGATAAAAAAGCATATTGGTCTAAGCAGCGGCTTAAGTTTAAAAAATTTTCGGATTTTAATGTGCAGTTAAAATGTGGATGCTCTCTTGCGGTTTGCGCTCATAACCTTATTTTTACCCCTTTTATATATACTGAGGTAATATTTTTCCCCACCGAAAAATACTTTATTAACAATACTTATTATTTCAGTAATTTAGGAAACGTTTATAAAGAGCGTGGACAACTGCAAGAAGCTTTAGACAACTATCGAAGAGCTGTCCGTCTAAAGCCGGACTTTATTGATGGATACATAAACTTGGCTGCTGCTTTAGTAGCTGCGCGAGATATGGAGTCGGCTGTACAAGCATATATAACGGCGTTACAATATAATCCCGTAAGATTTCAAACCTATTTTATTAAAATAACAATTACAATGCATTTTTATGTAGGAGCTCTATTGTGTGCGCAGCGACCTAGGAAATCTACTTAAGGCCCTTGGTCGTTTGGAAGAAGCTAAGGTATGTACAATCCAGGCATCGTAAAATAGCACCCAGGTTCTTGATAACAGCACAGCAGAGTCCTAGAAAAGACTTTGAAAATGGATACAAATGTCTTTGGCATTAGTTGTCTGTAACTCCCAAATTCCTAGTTTTTGATTCCGGAAAGAAAAACCGGATGGTTCATAAAGTACTGTCGGTAATTTGGGTATTGCTAAGATTTTGATCTTTCGTGGTCTGCGATTTTGCTCTTTTACGAAACCTGATGAATACCTTAAAATAGCACAAATAATAAATTAACTTAACATTAATATTTTATATGTAGGCCTGTTACCTAAAGGCAATTGAAACGTGTCCTGGCTTCGCAGTTGCATGGAGTAATTTAGGATGCGTGTTTAACGCTCAGGGAGAGATTTGGTTGGCAATACATCACTTTGAAAAAGCCGTAACTCTGGATCCCAACTTTTTGGACGCATATATTAATTTGGGAAATGTTCTAAAGGAAGCAAGAATATTCGACAGGTAAGCACATCGTGTTTTGTTATATAAAATAATAATAAGTAGCGCCGTTGTTACAACATTAACAATAAAAAAGGTAATTATTAATGGGTAAAACATAAAATTATCCTCGGTAGACCGATCGATGTTCTTATCGTTTCGTCATCGGAATGTTTCATGTCGTCACCGTTTTGTCCTACTTATACACCTGTTATTTTATCGCCCTTTGACAAAACGCAAGTTGTTGTTGCTAAGGAAAATAATTCGGGGTAAAGTTTGAGGTAAGGTCAGAAAATATATAATTATAAATCAAATATGCCATTAATTGGCCTTGTGATGATAGCAATTTAAGTTTAATAGGCCAATTTGTAGTATATACTTATATATGCTCCTAGAGTTAATGGATATATTCCACTTGGAAAAACGTATGTAACAAGTAAAAGAAAGGTTTCCGACCCTATAAAATATACATAATCTTGATAAGGATTACTTGCCGAGTCGATCTAGCCATGTCATGTAAACGCAGTGAACTTTAAAAGCTAATGGGCAAACCAGCCAATATTGTGCGGCCACAGTTTTGATGCTAGAATAAACATTTTAAGAGAAATGTATTGGTTTCGTCAATACCTATCGATTGACCAAAAAGAGTTTACCACATAATAAAGTAAACGCCTCTAGGTGAAACCCTGCACATCTCCATCTCCTTTCCGCTTCCTCTTACTGGGCAACGGGTTCATTACTTAAGGAAATCTTCTAAACTCCACTATGTTTTTATACCCGTTACTCGTAGAGTAAAGGATCAAATAGGATCAGAGAAATATTCAATATCAATACTCAATCAAAACTGAAAAACGTTTTTTTCAGAACGTTATTTTGCCGAAGAACAAGAACCCAAAGGGGCCATGTTGGGTCCTGCCAGCTAATCCGCCAGATCTCTTTCAAACAGCCTCATGGAAGAAATCTTATAGTAAAATGGTGTCGGCAAAAGGAGCCAACGAAATGTGTAAAAATGCTCGGAGCTTGCGTGGACCAAATATCTACGTGGAAATGACATCTGCGAGCAGACACAGCAAAACATGGCAGCCAGCCCTTCTCAGCCTTAAAGGAGTCCTTAATACAATGAAACCAGCTGAATTAACAAAAAACGCTAGACTATTTGATACCCGTTACTTAGCTAAAGAGATATGCAGATATGCTTGCTTGTGGCTAGCGCCACCTAACGCCACCGTATCGCCCCTAGTGGCTTGGTGGCGTGTTAGTGAAAGCAGCTGATTTGCTAAATGTGGTGTGCACCCTCCATTAAATATGCAAAATATTGATTATTTGGTGATAACCTTTTTATAAATGGTCCAATTTCAATAATTTAAATTTTTTTTTAAATTTTTACAAAATATTAAAAAATGGGGGGAACTGGACGGGTTTTAGTGTTATAGTGTTATGGTCGTTTGTGGGCGTTAGAGTGAGCGTGGAACCCTGCGCTGAGCAGGAAGCCCAAGAATCTGCATTACAAGTCCCAACATTCTAGCTTCTATATTTTCCGAGATCTCAGCGTTCATTCGGACATTGGGACATGGCTAGATCGACTTGGCTATTGATTCTGATCAAGAATATATATACTTTATGGGGTCGGAAACGCTTCATTCTACCTGTTACATACATTCTAACAAATCTAATATACCCTTTTATTTTACGAGTAACGGGTATACAAATATTTATTAGCGATGATAACATGCGCATTGGAAGCAGCAGATTCTACTTGAACCCTAATAAAGAACTTATACGCGACAAAGAAAAAGAAGAAATGTCAGCCCATTCCCTGGCTTTTGCTCTGAAGCTCTAGACACAAGCAACTTTTAGCCATGAAATTCCAAAAAACTAAATAATTCCGTCAGCCATTATATAACAAGTTTTGAAATCTTCTCCTACAACATCGCTATCTCAAAAGCAAGCTCTTACACAAAACCTGTTTGAACTTTATATTCAAACCCAATATCTTTCTGCATTTTAAAACATTTGTCAAGCGCTCCGCGAATAGCGACATGGCTAGTGGCTGTCATCTCTACAGCATTAAATACAATTTCAAAAGGCCTTCATACAAATTCATAAACTGCAACAACTGGAACGCTCAGTTCGAAACAAACACTGCAAGCACCCTCTTTTTTGGAGATCTTAATGCTCGGATAGGGAATCTGCAGGGTTTCACTGAATGACATGAATTTGCCATGGGCTTATATTTAATTATTTCTATGTTATACATTTTGCCAAAGTGGTTTTAAAATGTGCTGTAACGAACTGATTTAGTTAGTCTGCTCGCTAAGAGATTCGAGCGGCTAGCTCAGTAGATTGTGTGTTCGTCCCACCAAGTTTATATGACATGACTGCCCCGTAGATCAGTAAAAAAACATAGAATTCAAAAGTTTAAATTGGATATATTTTGGGTGACTTATTATAACGGGTGGGTGGTTCGGTTGGCTTCCGTGTCGCTACGCTCTGACTCCAGTGGGTGCTGATGATGCCCGTCTTGACCCGTTTTGTAGCTGGAGATCCTCCTGGTGTCCCTTGCCTCTGATCGCTCGTTGATACGTTTACTCGAGGCCGCTTGTTTCCGGAAGCGTCACCGTTCTCAGACTAGGTGACTCGTTCTTTTGGGCACCGCCTTTAGAAACAACGACCGCCTAGGGTTTCGCCCAGTTCGCGCTGATAGTCAAGGTTAACACCAGTAAGATGTCTAGCACTTCACTTCGCTTAACGCCTAGTGCAGACGAACGTTCCCCCTAGTTTCACCCTATTGACTGTCTTCCGTGTTCTCCACAGCTTTCGTGATGTGATTACTGATGACGTTTACTGATGTCGAAGCCAATGTCCCCTCCATTGCTCCTTATAACGCTTGATGCGAGATTAGATGTATCGGGATCTCTGGCTCTTGAGGTCTTGGACGTTCGCCGTTCCGGGATTTGCTGAACCGTTGGGCTTCTCCAGGACAACGCCTTGAATGCCTCACCGGCCGACTGCTCGCCCTTACTTGCTGGTAGTATGGTTCTCTGGCACTCGGGGCTTCGGTCGGTTGCTGTTCTGGGACTTCACCGGTAACCGCTTGGCTCTCCAGGACAACGCTTCTTGAAAGCACAAATCGATCGAACGCTCGTCCTTCGCGCCAGGACCTGCTCCGTTGGGAAAGGCACACTTGGCTTAAAAAACTTTCTCCCCGAGCTCACGGTTCATCGTCGCAGGGCTCTATAGCTCAACTCTGACTTACCCGCCGAACGATATGCCAGGGTGTGGTCGAGACAAGAGTAGGAACCAATCGCCTTTACTAAGTCGTGTGATGCCCTCAGGACCTCAGCAACTAGTGTTTCAAATTGGAGATTCGTTATGTACCGATACCGAGGTAGTGATCTTGCTCGTTGTAGGTTTCCCACGGCGCTGCTTACGAGGACTTGACTTGTTGCTGTTGACTTGTTGTTTACTGGCTGCTGGTTCACTGGTTTATTGACATTGACAACTGAGTGATCTTGATGGATTGACTGCTCGTGATCGACTGATCAAGCTGCCAGCGCCATGCGACCTTACATAGGGCATCTGGGCACCGTGCTTCCATTTTGCGCACGGCCCACTGGTGCTCTTTACTCCAGGTCCAATGTCCGTGAATTTTGTTGGACCTCTTTGTCCTCTTCCCACTGATTCCAACTTGAGTCCTGTGTCTTGGCGCCATCCTGCGTGTGCTCCTCTCGCATGTGGCACGCAGGCTCAGACGTCCCGCTGGTGAGATGTGGCGCTTCTTCTCCTGGTCCAAAGTGCACGGCAGAGTCCAAAGTCCGATGATTTTCGTTATTTCCCTTCGCAAACGGCACCCCCGCTTGCCCTCGGAGTCTTCACTCTCACACTCTCCAAACTCTCATTCTCTTGCTCTCCCTCCTCAACTTCTCGTTCTCCAAACTCTCAATCAACGCTTTCTCTTTCTCCAACTTCTCTATCACCAAACTCTCACCTTCCAACTTCTTGTTCTCCAAACTGTCTTCGCCTTGCCGTTAATACGCGCTAAGTCGCCGCGTATCTGGTAAGCGACAGGCCACCATGTATAATAGCCTCTGCAAATTGTGGGGAGTTATTCAACTCCTCAATTTCCTCCCTTTCTTCGGGAAACCAATTTATTGGGTCTTTGAGTCCTTCCTATGCTCTCGATGAATCCCTCGACGCTCCCTCGACGCTTACAGCCCTATCTTGATTTTCACAGCGCCGGTTATCGATCAAGCTTGCATTCTTTCCCCACGCGCCTGCCTCACAGAAGTTAACTTCTCCCGCGCAGATTATCCATGTGTTCCTACTGGTAGCCAACGGGTTGCCAGCTCAATGCGTTCTCCGCCTCTTCGCCGTTCCTCCATCTGGTCACACTATCCATACGCGATCAATAGTATTCAGCTATCGATTTAGCAAGGGCCAACTGCTAGTTGCGATGTTTACCATTTCCGATATCTCCATTATTTTCTTGTGTGACAATATCGTCCAGTGCCAAACGACCGCCTACTAATCGAGGCGCCCCTTCCCTGGGCAATGGTGAGTTTGAAAAACTGCTTATTTTTTTGTTTTCGCGAGGGATTTCACGGCCACACCTCTTTCCCAACAGACCGAGGGGCGCTGCCGTGTGTCGTAACGCACAAATTCACGATATGATAGCCGCGTAGAAAAATAAAGATATAGTTCGAGGAAAAAAGTAGGATACAATTCTGTGCTAGAATAAGTAATATTAATTGTTTTAAAAGAAGCAGAGAGTTCGATTTTGAGATAGTAGGATAATGTCTATTGTAGCCAGAACATAATACTCCGAAAGGTTTATGCAAGTCATAGTTAAATCTACAATGATTTATAATAAGGGGAATGTAACTACTTGGTAATACGCATGGAACAGAATTCATCTCGAATAAAGTTGCAAATAAAGATTGTTCCAAGCATCGTTCTGCGGTTGGCTAGGGAGGGTAAGTTAATTAGAAGTATTCTACTAGAATAAGAAGGTAAAACAAGAAAGG